GTTAACATCTCAAGTTTTCTTCATAAGCTTAAACAGATGGAAAATAATAATTTCCAGCACTCTTCTCTTCCCCTTCCTGCCTCTTTTGCATCACTGAGGCCTGAGCCCTGGAGTTCTGCACTGAGCTGCACATCCCCAGCCATGAAAATTGAAATTTTTTTTTGTTTTGAAATAAAGTTTGGCTACATTGCTCAGCTTGGACTTGCACTTGTGCGCCTCCTGCCTCAGCCTCTCAGAGTGCTAGCCAGTATTTTTCACCTAAAACTTTCCCACAACTTTTTTGTGTTCAAGTTTTACATTTTGAACCTTAAAAAAATTACATAGTATAAAATTTACCCTCCTATTTTTAGGAATAATCTTGTGGCATGAAACACAGTCACACTGCTGTGTGGCAGGTCTCTGGAAGGCTTAAGCCTTGCAAAACTGAAGCTCTGACCTATGAATCAGCATGCCCCTGTCTTTCCCGAACTGTGGTGCCCCAGCCCCCATATGCTTTCTGTTTCTGTGGGAGGGACACTGTCAGACAGCTCAGACAAATAGAATCATGCAGCATAAATTGAAGGGGGCCTGGCCATAGCTCAGTTCTTTAAGGGCCTGCTTCCACAAAGCTGTCAGCCTCAGGTTGCTGTAGTTCGATCCCCATAACACCCCGGCCAGCCAAACCACCCCTGAGGGCATTCGGAGCAAAAAAAAAACAACAAAAAAACAACAAAAAAAACCCTTATCCCATTTGGGGCCGGGGAGATGGTGCAGTAGGATAAGCACTTGACTGGTAAACGCAAGGATCTGAGTTCAATCCCCGGTTCCGCCAAAAACAAAAACAAACAAACAAAAAAAGCATAAATTGAAATTCTTTTTTCTTTCAAATTCCTTTCTTTTTAAAGGCCGATTAATAAATAATATTCCCAGGTATGTACAGACCATATTTTAAAAAATTAGGAATCATCTATCTATCTATCTATCTATCTATCTATCTATCTATCTATCTATTCATTTATTTGGTACAGGGTCTCACTATGCAGCTCAGACTTGTAGTGATGTCCTGTCTCAGCCTCTCTAGTGCTGGGAATACAGGCGTGGGCCACCATGCCCAGTTTCGGTGGCCAGCACGGCACACCTGGGGTTCCCGGGTCACACAGGGTAGTGGAGATTGAATTTAGGTTGCACTTAGACCACCGAGCTGTCTCCCCAGCCCCAGACCATATTTTCTTTATCCATTCATCTGTCCATAGACATTGAGGTCTTGGTCAGTGTGCTCATCATTTTTAAATAGTATTTTTTTAGTATTTTTACTTTCAAGCTCACCATTATTCACTAAGTTGTTAAATTGCCCTGGTTAGACTTGAAGTTGTGGTCCTCCTGCTTCAGTCTCCCAGAATTCTGGGATTAGAGACTCTACCACCATGCCCCAAACAAATTTTCTTTAAGTTGAGAAACTTTAAACCCTTTCTTCCTGTTCTTGTCTTTGCACCTCACCTTCCAGAACATCAGCTAAAAGTAGTAGACTGATTTTCACTGAGCACTTTTGTTGAGCCCATTGTATTCTCTGGCTAAATTGTGTGTGTGTGTGTGTGTGTGTGTGTGAGTGTGTGTGAGTATGTGTGTGTGTGAGTGTGTGTGTGTGTTTAAAATTTATTATTATTCTTATTTTGCAGTGCTGGAGATTGGACCCAGTGCTTCGGACATAATAGACAGACACTCTACTGCTGACCTGGGCTTGAACTCGCGACCCTTCTCCCTCAGCTCCGATAGTGCTGGGGTTGCAGACATGCATCATCGTGCCCAGCTCCAAATTCAACAATTTGGTGAAATGTAAGTTTACAAACTCAGTCTTCTGATTGTTGACATTTCAGTAAATAACATGCAAAATATCGGTGTATATTTTAGAATGTGACAAATACGTTGGTTCAATAGACACTTGCAATTTCATGTGTCTGATGAGATTGCTTTGGTTTCCTGAGCTGTGGTGGGGTACAACCTGGGGAGCTTGTTTCTTGGGCCCATGTCCACTTTAAGGAAGCCACAGCCCTGCTGGCCATGGGTGCCCTCTGTGACTTGAGGCCACCATCCTCCCAGTCCTGGGCAAATGGCTGCACTGTAAGAAGGAGCCTTGCACACCGATTTTGCCCTTCTTTCTATCACAGTGACTGTCTCACAGTGTGGAAAGAGACCTGGTGGACCTCACTTCACAAAAGCCAAGCCATGCTGACTTCAGGTGAGGGAACTGAGGCCTATGCGATAGGATGCTCGTTGCGTGAAGGTGAAGGCCTCCTGGCCTGGGCATTCTGTCCAGAGAAACTGTGGAGGGAGAGGCTGGCCTGAGGCAGATGAGCCCTTGCCCCCAGGCTTCCACAACCTGCCTAAGAATAGGTGTGCAGGTCAGGCTAAGAAGCCCCCAATCTAACCAGGCCCATGGGACATAGGAGAGCCTGGAACTGGGCCCATAGCCACTGAAGTAAGAGCTGGGCCTCAGCCAGAACAAGTGAGGGATCTGCTGGGAGGAGCAGGGACCAGCAGGTGAGGCAGGCACATCGCGGCCTCAGAGATCAGGGCGGCTGGGACAAAGCTTAGTCCTGGGACAGGTTCAGGTAAAGATGTGGGGGTATCCTGGCAGCGGGGCAAATTTTGACTGAACTTTGTGTATATGTGAGGGAAAGGGAGGGAGTAAGGGAGGGAGGGAGGGAGGGAAGATCTGTGTGTACTGGAACGCATCTGTCTTTATGTGAGGGCTTTGTGTCTGTGTGACTCAGTCTGTTAAGGAAAGTGTCTCAGGTGCTGTGTATGTGAATGTGAAGGACAGTCTTAGTACTGATGTGCAGAATCCCAGCAGAGAGACACATGTCTGTGTCTAAGTGGTCACAGCTTTGAAGCATCCCCAGTAGAGGGAAGAGACAGCATCAGGCTAGAGCGATGTGACCGCTGTGTACTCAGGACGCCCCTGTTAGGCTATCGCGGCTAATCACAGTAATCGCAGTGGCACTGCCCGTCCCTTTGGCCTTGGGTTAAGTGTGGCTCTGAGGGTTGGGCAGTATGAATTCCCTGTACCTGGTGAAGGGATGGACCAACGGGCTCACCAGCCCACTGCCTGGCCGTCAGGCATGTGGACCCTACGACCCCCTCTGACCTACCTTACAGCCATGAAGGCACCTACCTTGGAGGTATGGCTGGTCACTATTTCAGCTGCCACCCAGGTACTGACATCATCTGCATTTCTTAAAAGCTGTAATAGGTACTTGTCCTGAACATAATTGGGCAGAAATAGGCTACAGGTTTTGGTAGACAGAGACTCACAAGAGCTGGCTCTGGAAGAAAAATGGTGTGTTATCATGTGGGGATATGGAAAGGTGGCCCTACCCAGACATAGGGCTGCAGGATTTCTGTGCAGAGTGGGCTGAGGTCAGGCCCTCTTCTCTCAGGGAGTGACCCAGGCAATTCCTTTTAGCCAAGAGCACCCACAAGGCCAGGACCGCATTGGGGAAGCCGCGTGAGACCCGCCCGCCATCCCTCTAAAGGCACAACTCCCAGGCCACCTTGGGAGTCGACACTCACTTTGGAATGGCTGTGCTTTTGTCCATGACACCCAGGGCGCGTGAGTTTAGGAAGTGTACAGGGTGGCACTTTTGAAATAATTCCTGTTAGAGACGTGGAAGTAGACAGTCAGGCCATCGCTTCCAAGGACCTGGTGTCCACAGCAGCATCCCAAGGAGGGCTGAGGTGTTCTGGGGGCCATCTCTGTAATCACAAGGCTTGGCCAGCAGGCTTCCCTATGTACATGGCCCCCCAGGGCTGGTGACATTGGCTAGGCCTGATGACAGCATTGCTTGGTGCTGCTGTCACCTGGCTTATGACATCAGGGCCCTGGAGAGCAGGGCCCAGGCCAGCATGAGGGGAGGATGGCCCAGCTTCAGCAGAGGGTTGCCCCGAGGGCCACCTGTCTCCTAGGAAGCCAACAGGAGGATCTTACTTGTCTGGAGCCCAGGTCTGCCCCCACCTTGGGCCTCCTTAGTTTTTTGCACTAGCTCCCTGGAATGGGTGCATGTGACAACCACAGTGAGGCTCTTCTGGTGTCCACTGGCTCCTCCAGGAAGTGTCCTGTGATGCCAGAGTGTCCCTGAGCCTGCCCCATGAAACCTGAAGTTGGCCTAGATGAGAGTATGGGGTTCCCCAAGCACTCCTGATACCCAAAGCCTCCATGTACCTGCTGCAGCAGTGTCAGCTGCGTGAAGAGTTGGTGCGTGCTGTACTCAGTCAGGAAATAGGGCCCCTTCTCGCTGGCTTTGGCGTAGGGGCCGTAGAAGTCTTCGAAGAAGCAGGGCTTGGGCAGGGCAGATGCGATAGTGTACTGGCGCTCCTTGTGTGGCAATGTCAGCCCATTGCCCCGCGGCAGCCTCCAGGGGAAGCTCTGCAGGCAAGTCAAATTGCCCTCCAGGTCAAGGTGGCGAGATGAGGACCAGACGAGTCCAGTCCAGGCCTCTTTAGACTGGCCCAGCCAAGGGGCAAGTCCCTCCTGCACATGCTTGATGGCACAAGGACATGTGTGTCCCGATCACTTTAGCAGATTCCCCATGGACACAAGCCCTGAGGTTTGGGGCGGTCCCTATCTATTTATTAGTGGAGAGAATATTCACTTCCCCACAGTGGGTTCCTCTACCCAGGTTTCCCACCTGAGGGCCAGGGAGGTGAATTCAGTGAGTTATCATAGTACCCATCTCACATGACTCCCTGCATGACCTTCAGGGCAGGTGTGCCAGGAAGTGCCACCCCAACAAGATCCACACCTGGGACATGCATGGGGAGCATGTACCTATGCACAAATGTGTTTTCTTGTGTGCACATGTGCATGCACGTCTATGTGGATCTGTGCGTGTATGCTTGTATATGTACATAGGTGTGCTTGTGCGCAGACATGTGTATGTGTGCATGTGCATGCCATGTCATCCAGAAGGGACACAGGGAACTGCACCTGCCTGTCCACAGAAGCCCTCCCTTGAGAAAGGCCCACACCTTTCGGGAGATGCCATCTTCTGAAAACCTCTTGCAGAGGGCGTTGAAGGGTCTGGCATCCTCCTCAGCCTCTTTGGGGTCCTCCAGGTCTGTGCCTCGAGCGGCACCATCAGCCCGCCGGTCAGTGCCCACCTCCAGGAGGCCCAGCAGGTGCTCAGCAGAGCCATCTAGGGGCAGAATCTAGGCAGAAGCATAGTGGTCACTGTCTTCTCTGGACGAGGGCAGTGCCTCCCTCTGCAGGTACCTGCAGTGCTGGTAGGTTGGTCTGGGCAGCAGTCACCTTGGAGGAGATGAAGTCCTCGAGGCGCTCCAGCAGCCCTGCATTCCTCATGAAGTCCACAGTGTAGCAGTCTTCCACCCAGGCCTGCAGGACGCAAAGGCTCCGCCTATAGATCTTGGTGAAAGTCGAGGTGGGGTCCTGGTGGGCCCTAGAAACAGACAGGATGCCTCAGCCTGGGGCCACCAAGCGTGGACAAGTGTGGGGTGAGGGGTACATGGGGAAGTCAGGTGACCAGAGCTCCAAGATGCGCTTCTCCCTCCAGCCGCTGCCCAGCAGCCCTGTGAGGCCAGCTGGGCCCCCTGCTTTCCTTTCCTCTTGCACTCACGTTGGCTTTACCATCCTTACCTTGGCCCTCTGCAGAGAGGCTGCACCTATACCCTGCTCCTGTCAGGGTCACCTGGGACTGCTTTATCCTTCGCAGGGGCTAAGCGAGGTGCCTTGGAATCCCACCCAACCTGAGTCAGGATCCCCGCATGGGTGGTACCTGGACAGAGTGCTGCTAATACGGTCCAGGAGGAAGTGCAGGAAGTCATGCGGTGTGCAGAAGTAGCGGAAGGTGTACAGGAACTGCTGGACGTAGCCCTCCAGGAAGGCGTCACTGGGGGGACATTGGCGAGACCTTGGGCCTTAGACCAGCCTCCTGCCCACATACCCTGGACTCACCTGTGCCACAGGCAGGGGGGAGCAGCCCGGAGTGAGTGTGGTGTGTGCAGTTCTGTGTGCATGTATATGAGTTCTGTGTGAGTACATGGATGCCCTTTTTGGGAAATCACAGGCAAGAGAGCCCCTGGGAAAATGAAAGCGTGAAGGGAAGGAAGGTACTGATCACCCTGGAAAGTTTGGCGGCCGGAGCAGAGGGCCCTTCCTTACCCACACGGTGCAGGGGCCAGCCCTTGGCATGGGAGTCTGCATTTCATAGAGGGCCAGCTATGATCACACACACACACACACACACACACACACACACACACACACACACTCAATGTACACAGTGTGCCCCCCACTCACATCACATGCACCCTCACTCTCCATGTACTATACAGTCCCACGTGCACCCATACCATACATGCACAGCCATGTGCCACCACACTATAGCCCAACATGCTCCATGTACATACTTACCACACGTTTACTTCATACATTGTATACACTGTACATAAGCACATTCCCTCATAATCACATACATTATACTACACAATCCTCAGCACACCACACATGTACAGCAAATTGCACAATACCACATAATACTCCCACCAGACAGCACACGAATACATGTCACAGAAAACCCCCAGTGTACCCCACGCACCACACACACATACCACAAACATAATGTACAGTACCCACGTACATGCTTTCTCACAATTACGTACATTATATGTGGTGCCTCAATGTACCACACAGACACACATGCATACCAGACTACACAATATCACATAATAGCTCCACACCATGACACATGGGTGTGGTACATGTTTTACATACCAGATCACACAGTATCCCAACATACCCCAGACCTGCTACACACCTGGGCACACATGTGACCATTACATATGCACACACCACACGTACACACCATCCACTGAACCTGGACACATGCACAACCTCACATGCACTTGTATCTCTGTCTCCCATGATAGCTCAGAGACCCCACAGTAGACAAGGCAGCACCATCGTGCAGGTGAGGAAATTATGACCTTAGTCTGAGGGTCAGCCTGGAGTCCCTGGCTGGCAGGGGGCTCCAGCATGGCTGGATGCAGCCGACCTTAGAATATAGGGTTGATGGAGCAGGGGCAGCAGGCACAGGAGGCCTGTGCCCTGTGGAGGGGACCTTGTTCCCCCGTGGCCCTCCCTGATCCTTGCTGACACCTGATCAGATCCAGGGTCAGCGCAGCCTGTACATCAAAGGGTGCCCCAGGGCTCCACAGTGCCCCTGTGCCTGACTTGGAAAGGCAAAATTCGTCTCTCTGGTTAGACCATCAGGTGAAAAGGGGTGCTGCAGGGCAGAGGGACTGAAAGGTCCAAGCGTGCTAGGTGCGATGAGGGAGGGAGGTCCAGTATCCCAGCCCCGGGACCAGTCTTGGGACCCTGGGCAAAAGTAAGGCTCCTCCTTGCTACAGGCCAAGAAAGCACACTGACATTTATCACTAGGGATCGTGGACACACAAAACTGTTCATGCCACAGAGGTGGAGGCCACAGAAATGCTCCCCATCATTAAGTTCAACAGTGTGATAGCTAAATTGTCCGGGGTTCTCACTTAGTGTGTGGAATGGAAGCTGGGCTATGCCTCAGAGACTCCTGAGGTGTCTGCACTGGAAGCTCATGGAGTGATGGTGCGGGCCACTCCCTAGCTCTCCTGCAGCGCCTGCGAGCACACCCTGAGATGTGGCCTGTGCTTGAAGCCATCATGGCAAGGAGATCAGCCATGGAGCAGGGACAGCTAACAAACCAAATTCAAACTCTAATTAGACATCTTTCTGAATTAAAAGCAGGATAGCCCATCCTTAATGGGAGCCTCTTTCTTTTGTCCTGAGTAAGCTTTTCTCCTTTTGCAGCCCATAGGTTATCCTGGACACACCTGGAATAGAGGTAGGCCATGAGGCCCAGTGGCGTGCCAGCCTGTAGGACTCGAGCCTTCTTCTGGCGGCCCCCACACGGGTGCTTGTTGACATTGTAGAAGATGAGGGAGGAGGACTCGTCCAGGGGGCTGAAGTCCAGGGTGTCACAGGGGGCTGCCGCGATGTTCACGATCACTGGCAGGGCACAGGGCTCCAGGCCCCAGCGCTCCGCGTACATGACCTGGAGGGAGGGGCAAGTCACGGCCAGCGTGTGTGGGATGAGGGTGCCTGGTCATCCGGACCCTGAGCCTGGGATGGCAGGGCCTGTGCAGTTGGCTTCTCACGCGGGGTCTGACCAAGCATGGGTGGGTGCACAGCGCTGACCTTAGGAATCCCATCTGAGTGTTACTTGCCTGCAGATACTTCTTGACCAAGCTGAGGAACTGCACTTTGGACTTCATCTCCTCCAGCTGCCCTTTCAGCTTGGACAACATGGTCTTCACCTCTGAGCCTGTGGGCAGAGCAGAGCTGACACAAGGTGGCTCCCCTGAGCCTAAGCAGAGACCTCACCTGTGGTGATCGTCTGTGCAGGGTTACCTTTGTTGCGCTTTTCTTTCTGTAAAAGCTTCTGGTAGAACTTCAGGGTCTTTCGGTAGTTTCTTTTCTCTATCATGAGCTGCTGCTCCAGCTCCTAAGAAGAAGCACAGTGTGAGAGATCAGGGCAGTTGTGGCCTCTGATACAACTTGGAGCACCCACAAAAGGCCACAATCGCTTGGATGGGAACCCAGATATAGCTTCGCCCTGCAAGGGGAGACAGACACAGCCTCTGTGACTGCACCCAGGGGGCTGTGGGCCAGCTGGATAGGAAGTAAGCTGGCTGGGATGTGCATGTAACCTGGGAGCCTCTGCGAGCTGAAGCGGGACTCCAGGAGTCTTAGGCTAAACTGTTTCCACAGGAGGAGGACCGGCCGTGGCCCACAGCGAGGATCTAGGTGAGGAGCAGAGGATGAGCACAGGTAGGTGCCTGGTGAGAGCCACATGGCTTCCTAAGTAAATTACTTCCTGTGGTGAGGGTCCAGTAGAGTTGTGGCCCTGAGCCTGGTTAATCTCAGAGCAGCGGCAGCCAGTTCCCCTTGCTGATGGCAGCAGCCCCAGACTGGATGCCCCTTCCCCTAGCTCACGGTCCCGCAGTTAACCACAAGAACTGGGTGGCAGAAGGAAAGGCAGGCAACGTTTTTCTTTACATATTCGGAGGACTTCTGTTGGCAGTTCAGAAGCTGTCTTCACCACATGCTGTGTTGGCAGGGATGGCAGACGCAGCCAGCCCCATGATGGTTTGTGTTGTTGGTACTGGGCAGCTGCAGAGGGGTCCAAAGTAGAACCTAGACTCCCTGTGAAGTCAGGTCTTCCAGGACCCCTGGATCCTTCTCCAGCTCAGCTACAGCATACCTGGAGGTGCAGTGTCTCCAGAGAAATGAAGTGGAGAAAACCAGTTTCTCTTCTCTTTCCTTGTCTTTTTTCTTTCTCTCCTCTCTCCTCTGTGCTCTCTTCCCTGTCCTCTGTCTCCTCTCCTCTTCCTTCCCCTCTCCTCCCCTCCCTCCTTCCTTCCTCTCCTCTCCTCTCCTCTCCTCTCCTCTATCTTCCTTCTCTACTCTTCTGCTCTCCTCTCCCTCCCCTTCCTTCCTCTCCTCTCCTCTCCTCTCCTCTCCTCTCCTCTATCTCTTTCTTCTTTTTCTTTTTTGTACTGAGCATTGAGTCCAGGGCCTTTGCACTGAGCTATATCTCCAGACCTTCTTTAAAAAAATGTTTTTTTGAGACAAGGTCTCACTAAGTAAGTTGCCCAGGCTGAGCCTCAAGTATACAATTCTCCTACTTCAGCCTTTTGGAGTGCTAGGATTATGGGTATGAAAACTGACTGTTTAAACCATGCTTAGCTTCAAATCAGGCTTCTACTAGATGGCCAGCCTGAGCCAGTTCTTCCTCATGAGGATGGGACTGGTCAATCCTGGGCCAACCCATGAGAGCTGCCTGCCTAGCGCCTGCGCCTCTCACATGGAGTCACACCATATGAGGATTTGTAGATCATTAAAGTGAGATAAGATAAAAATGTTAATTCTTTAGGCACACGAGCCACCACTGGAGGGACGGTGTAGTTCACAACGCACTGTCTTTGAGGACCATCCCCAGTTGACCACAGAGGTTGAGACGGACCTGTTTCTGTCTGCTGGTTGAAGTGAGGCCTACAGGTCTCCGTGGCCATCCACGCATACCTCTCTGTGATCCAGGCTTCTGAGTGAGGTAGTGGTGGCCACGACCCCCATGGCTGTACCGCAGAGCTCTCCTCCTGCTCTGGATCTATGCCAAGCCCCTTCCAAGCCATCACTCCTTGTCTTCTGAGCAGATGCAGATGTGGCAAATCCATGGGGGGAGGTCTGTGGGCACCAAGGCATTTGGGGACCTGGGTGTGGCTCCCTATATTGTTGGCATGTACCTCCTGCGTGCTAGACTGTGGTGCATGCAGAGTTGACCATCTTTATCTGTAGTTAGACACTTGTCAGGAACAATTCTCAGGATAATGAACAGCAGACAGATTCTTTGAGGACTATCTTGATTGATTTTAGATAAATCCATGTTACCTAAAATTCACACAACACAAGGGATAATGGGGAAGAAAACACAAGTGTTGGCATTACTGTCAAAGCCGTGCACGACAAGCGTGCACGACAGGCTGACCTGGTTGGCTAGATCTCAACATACTGAGAATTGTCCAGGTTGGACTTTTCCTTGCGATCCTCCTGCCTCAGCAGTTCAGACTTCTGAGATTATGGGCACCACCATGCCTAGCTGCATTTGTTATAGAAGTAAATGCAAGGCTACTGAGGCACAATGGCCGATGGCCAACGGACTTAGTTGGATGAATGGCTGGTGGATGTTAGGATAAGTGAAACAACAGCCAGAAGAAAGGTGCAGTAATGAACTAGAAAAAAGAAGAAGACAGGGATGAACTGAAGTCACTGCCGACCCGCAGACCCTGAAGGCAAAGCCTCTCTCAACAGCAAACCAAGCACCAGGGCAGTTCATGGGGTGGCAGGAGCTGGGGCCCTGCATCTGCACTGTGGGGACACTTGCAGCATGTGCATGTCACATGCAGCCACAGCAAGTGCTCAGGGGCGGAGTGTGTGCACCCAGGCAGTCAGCACTGCTTCGGGGTCTTAGCAACAGATGACAGCGTATTCACTTTCTCCTTGGGTTGCAAATGTGAAATCTATTTCTGAGTGATACACTTTGTTTGAAGTAGATATGGTGGGTCTTCAGAGAGACCTATAAGCAGTGGAGGGCATGGGAGACTCACCCGTCCTAGGAGGACAGGTGGGAGGACGAGCTGGGAGGACAAACTCCTTGTCTAGTCCCCATGCCCTGAAGCTGACAGCCTCCTCCAGATCAAACACTGGGGTAAGTCATCCTGGAGTCACCTGCAGTGTGACACTGGCTATCCAGCTGGCTTGTCTAGGGCTCGTGTCTACAGTTCCCCCCAGCTGATTCAGGAGTTGGTCCTACTCGCAGGATCACATTGAAGTTAGAAGAGGCACTGGTCTGGATCCGCTCTCGGTGTGTCTTCAAGGCTTGGTCATGGCACAGAGCCCACAGTCCTTTCTTGAGCTCCTCATGGCAAACACTTATGCCCATAGGCCCTTTTCGGGCTATCAAAGATCCTGGGATCCTCCGGATCCTCCATGCTAGAACAGGCCAGTCTGGAGGCTGCTCAGTACCAGTTGGGCATGCACTGAGGGTGCGAAGCCCACTCTGCTCTTTACTGGCTGCACCAGGTCCTTGCCCCTGTTGTGTACCATGAAGGAAGGAGGAGGATGAGAAAGAAGCTGTGGCAGTGCTTTCTGCTAGAGTTGATGTTTTTTTTTGGTTTGTTTGTTTTTTGTTTTTTTTTTCCTCCCTGGAAAGGCAAGGCCAAGTGGAGCACCAGTGCTCCTGGGACGTCATCTATTCTGGGTGCTACAGCAGTGAAAGATGCAGGGGTTGGATGAGGACTCGCAGAGCAGAAGAAAAGAGAGCCAAGGACCTCTTGGAGCCCAGCGAGGACCAGACTGCCTTTGGGTCCAAGGCTTGGGCCCTCATGTGACGATACTGAGTCTCTGTCCGGTCTGTGAGCTGGAGGCACTGTGGTCTCCCATCTGGGCCATCTGGGCCATCTGCTGTGAACTGTCTTGTCCTCACCAGGTTCCATGGTGCACACAGTGGCCTGGTCTTCAGGGAAGTCCGGAGGAGATGAGAGGCTTGGAGAGTGACTCTGGTGCCTACACCTAGGGATGCTGGCTGCTTCTCTGACCAGGTAATGAGCTGACATGCTGCCAGCAGGAGGTGGCAGACATAAGAAGGGGTGGTCTAACAGCTGCGACAATGCTGGGTGTGTGCTGGGGAGAGACCACCCCTGTGGAGTGGGGCTCAGTCAGGGTTCTGAGGGGGCAGGCAGTCGCAGATGGCCTCCATCTTTTCAGAGACTCAGAGCCCAGACCAGTGGGCAGCGCTTCTATCCATGAAGGGAGGCCCTGAGGCCTGCACGAAGACCCCCCCCAATCCCACCCCGTCATGCTGGGCAGAGCGTGGAGGCAGTTTCTAGAAACTCTGAACCTTGCTGCAGTCTCATAGTCACTGGTAGGGGACCCCAGTTACACAGGCAGCCACCTTGGCCCTGTCTCTCTGCTCGTCACAGCGTCTTGGGCTCTACTGGCCAGGAAAAAGCCTGGGCTGCTCCTGCCCCGGAATGGCACTGCCCGTCAGAGAAGCCCATGCCAGGCCACACAGACCCTGCATCCATCCTGGACTTGCCCTGCCCTGGGCAAGACCCAAGCTCCGGGAGGCCAAAGGGCGCAGGGCTTCACCTGCCAACCTCAGCAGGAAACAGGGCCTAAAGCCCTTTGTGGTCACAAGGGTCAGGTGATTTCCCAAGCACCTGTCACCTGGAGGCAAGGTACCCAGCTAAGGTGAGAAAGGCCATTTCCTGCCTCCAAAGAATGGAGACTATGCTGATGAGGTTAGCACTAGCATAAAAGAGCACAGCCTGGGGCACTGTAGGTGTTCCAGGAGGGGATACACCCTAGCTGGAGGCTCTGGTGCGGTGTGCCCTGGCCTGCCTCCGGGAGTGAGCTGGAAGCACCACCTGAGGGGAGTCAGGCCACAGTGTTGCCCCACCCCTCTCGGGCAGAAGCCCTGGACTCACTGGGCTGTGGGCTTCAGGCTCGGGGTGCCCACCAGCCTTTTGTCTTCCGAGATCCCTCACATAGTTGTAGACCTCAGCCCCGAAGCAGTCAGCCTCGTAGAAGGCACTGGACCAGCCGGGACTGCAGCTCTGGATCTCAGCTGAGCCCAGAGACACCGCCTGGGTGCCCTCATGGGACCTAGCCAGCTGGGTCACGGCGTCTGTGGCTGGCTCCAGGTGCGGGCCTCGTTCATCCAGCACCTCAGGCTGCTGCTCTCTTGTGGCTTTGATTGACTTCTGTGGCCGAAAGCCCACCTCCAGGTTTCCCTGTGAGAGTGTGTCCGAGTCCATGTCTGACAGAGAGGTGGGCGAGCAGGGGCCTCCACTGCCCCGGGCTGCAGCTGGTTTTTCTTTGCCTTGAAAGAAAGAGATGAGGATCAGTGGGCAGCTCTTCTGTCCACGGAAGGAGGCCCAGAAGTCTTCACCACAGCCCCACCCTCCAGAGGTCATGCTGGGCAGTTTGGAGGGTAGTTTCTAGGAACTCTGAGTAGCTTTTGAAGAGATGGCTACAACAAGGAGCAGTGCCTTCCCTAGACCAGTCTATGTCAGGACACTTGTATGGCTTTCTTTTCTTTTCCTTTTCTATTCTTTTCTCTGTCTCTCTCTTTTTTCCTTTTTTGAGGCAGGGACTCACGGTGTAATTCAGGCTGGCTGTGAATTCACTGCGTAGCCCAGGCTGGCCTTGTACTCAACAATCCTCCTGCCTCGGCCTCCTTAGTGCGGGGTTACAGATATGCACCAACATGTCTGGCAACTTGGAGTTTTCAAACTTCTTGTGGGCCTGGGACCCTAGCCCTAACCCTGGGGTCTGTGTGTGTCTCATCTAGCTCGACCTGTCCTTCTGGAGCTCTTAGAGTCAAGCCCAGCTCTAGTGGTTCACAAATTCTTTGAGACACTCCGGGCTCCATCACCTCTGTAAGCTGCTTCCTGGTGGCCTCCTGAGCTCCCTGACTATCAGAGCAGGCAGGTGGACTTCATGCCTGGGGTCTGCTCACTTGCTTCCTGATTTGCTTAAATAGGCATGATGTCACCACAGAGTCCCTCTTATTGGCCAGTAAGCATATCTGGGTGACCAATCACCCTACCTGTTTGGCCAGCCGGAAATTACAGTGTTCAGTGGATCTGGGAATCCTGGGCTAATACTCTGAGAAAACCAGCTGAAATTATTTATTTATTTTTTTTGGCGGAACCAGGGATTGAACTCATGCCAGGGAAGCGCTTATTCCTCTGAGCCATCTCCCCAGCCCAGCCAGCTGAAATTAAATGGCTCATAAGAAGCCAGCACTGTGATGGAAGCCACTGAAGGGAGAGAGGGAGAGGACAGCACAGCCTCTGCCTCAAGGCCCAGGCTCTTGGGTGTCCCTAGAGCAAGGCTGTGCCGTGCTGGAGCCCTTCCTGTAACTCTCTTCAGCTGGAGGGTCCAAGGAGCCCTAGGAGAACAGTGCTAGCTCCTACCCCTGGGAGGGCAGTTTCTCTTACCCAGTCCGTGCAGTGAGGGTCTTTTTCTGGAGGTTGCACAGCTGCTTGGTGAGCTCTGGAGCTGAGACCCTGTGTCCTCAGAAGTGCTGACAATCAGAATGACTGGTCAGACCCCTCCACTCCCGTCCCACTGGATGAGGCCTTGGGCCTGTGCAGAAAAGCCCTCAGCTGGCAAATACTGCTGGGGAATGAGGCCTCACAGGCGGTGGGGCACTGGCTCCATAAAACCCCACCAGATGGACTCCAGAGCTAGTCTAGACCACCCTCTCACACCCACAGAAATGCGTGTTGGTGCTGGGGGCTGGGGTGGGCACATTTGCCAAGCAACTGCTTCATGGAGGTGGGGGAGTGTCAGAAAGCATGCTCCCTGAGCGTGAGCCCCAGCAGCAGACACACACCAACAAACGTCACATCTGGGGGGGCAGTGTAGTTGCTGTGGAGGGCGGTATAGGGGCAGGGTGTGGGTGTGAGGCACTGAGAAGGGAAGGGTTTAGGTCAGGAAAGTCACTAGAACCACAGAGTATGGTGCTGGGCTCCTGATCCGCCTCAGGGCCCCAGGAAGGGAAGCCTGGGCCCTGGGATCACCCACCTCTCAGTGGGAGAGGATGGTCCATTGACCACTTTGAAGAGATTCTGTAGCAACTGTTCATTCCAGTACAGGTCACAGAACTTCTCGGATATGGCCCCACAGAAAGTGGCAAAGGTGAGGTCTTTCAAGGCGTAAATATACTCTCCTAGTTTTACAAAGTGACAGGGTGAGTTAGGATGTGGTACCCTCATTCATGGTCACACAGAAGAGGTGGTCTCAGGGAGAGATGGGCTTGGGTGGATTCCCAGGCACTTTCCACTTGAGGTTCCCGGGCACCAGCTCTGAGCTGCCTTCACTGTCCTGGCGGCCCCAGCCCCTGTGCCACCCTTTATGTAGATCCCCTCTGATGTCCTGTGGGCTGTCCTCTACCCTTTCCTCTCCCTGATCCTCCCAGGGCTCATCTTGGTTCCTGTGGTCCCCATACCCATAATCAGAGCCTCCAGTCCGTTGTCCAGGTAGCCATCGAAGGCAAATTCCTCCTGGATGAGGCGCATGGCCTCCTGCAGGGAGGGACAGGCTGTCTTCTTTGGGGGAGACGAGGTGTCCACGCTGGATGGACACAGCTTGCGGTCTGTTGGCCGGGTCCTCTCAGGGTGATTGCCTGGGCTACTAGGGCTGTCTGGACTCACTGCAGCCAGTGCTGGACCCCGTGCCACTGGCCGGGGGCCTTCAGTTTCGGCAGCCTTGTTCTTGGATGGCTTGCACGGGTGACGTGGGCCTTGGTTGGCTGAGGTTGGCCTTGGAAGCACAGTGGCTCCAGGCGGAACCTGCCCATCTGGCCCTTGCTCTGGAGGCAGCGCTAGTACCTTCTGGGGTGGGGTGGGGGTAGAAGAGCTGGGTGTTGCTGGTGTGGTCCCATCTAGTGGGCTGGGTGGTTTGGAGCCTGGCTGGCAGGAGCACTCCTGGGCCAAGCTGTGTGGCACTGACTCCCTGACAGCTTCCAAGGCTGCCCCCTGCAGCTCTGGACTGGGCGCCAGCTGGTCAAGTGTCTGCAGGCTTGTAGACCCAGAGAGGTCCTGGGCTGCCTGCTTCCCCGCCTCCTTCCCACCCAGTTCGCTCTTCTCCTTGAGCTTCTCAGCTGACCCTGAAGACAAAGAAACCTGGTCCCTGTGAACAGAGAGGAGGAGAGGGCTCAAGAGGGCCCACCCATGCTGGGGGTGCCGCCAGCTGGGGTGGAGGTGGGCACTCACCCGGGCACACCTGCGTCTTGAGCGAAGCTGATGGGCTTAAAGTGAGTGGCTTCAGAGGTGAGGGCTGTGGGCAGCTCCCTGGTTCCTTGGCAGCAGGAAGGTGGGCTGGGAGCAGGCGTCGGTGGCATCGCTGGGAGTCTGGTGTCATTGCTGATTGGCTGGAAGTCTGGGGACAGCAGGTGGTTGGGAGGGCACAAGGGGGAAGGGGCAGGTGGAGGCCTGCAGGTACCACACTTAAGGCCCTGCTAGAGTGTCAGACCCAAGGCTGGGCACTTTACCCTTTCCTACACACCCCCAAGGAACTCTCCTGCAGGGTTGGCCCAGGGGCCAGGAGGTGGGGAGTGACTGGTGCCCAGGAGTGAAGGGAAAGGCCAGAAGACTGGCTACAGCCAGGAGGTCTAGGGCTGCTGGGAGGGGTCTTGTCCCTGGCCCAGAGAAGGCTCCCTGAGGAGGCAGCCAGGTAGGGTGAGAACTCTGGGTGAGAATGTAGCTGGGGAGGGTGGGCAGAATTTGGAGCTAAGTCCTGAGTGAGGAGTAGGTGAGGCCAAGGATGGCCTGGCGGGGCTCTGGATCTACTGCTCGGAGCTTCTGGGTGACACTGGTTGTGAGTGGCCTCAGGCCGGACTTGGGATGGGCAGTATGGGTGTGGGGCACAGGAGCTGGCAGATAGGAAGGGCTGGAGGAGTTGGAAGCATGCCCACCTGCACTGGGCTTGGGAGCTGGTGCTGTGCGGGGTTTCAGTTCAACCACTGAGAAGGCATTTTGGAGACCGATGGTCTCTTCCTCTTGGTGAACCTGGGGTGGAAAGTCACAAATGGCTGGTCAGCAGACAGGACAGTGGGGCCCGTAACTACAGTGTGGAGGCCTGCCCTACAGTGCCCAGCAACATGACAGGCATCTGAGGAGCTTTCTGTGGTACAGGGGAGTCTGACTCTGAGGGTCTGCGCTGAGATTTGGGTCTCCCCCACTTCAGGAAGGTTGTGGTAAGTTTCTAGAGAATGGGAAGAGTGTGGTGTGGTGGAAGGAACCCCCCAAACCTGTGTTGGGGATGGGAGTTCAGTCCCCTGGGCATGGGGGTGCCTGCTCCAGATCCATCCAGAAAGCTGACAGGCACCTTTGGAAATGCTGTTGGCTGCCCAAGGGTCACTCCGCAGGACCCACAGGGCATGGGCAACATGGTGTAGTCAGCAGCACACTCAGGTCCTCCACAAGCTCATTCCCATGAGTAGCGGAAGTGAGAAAACAGTTGTGTGAGGAGGACGGCTTTTCATTCCTTCTTCCCACATTCCCTCTCTGCCCTAATACAGCAGGAGACTGGCAGGTTTCATGTCTGGGTGTTGGCGGCAAGCAGTAGCCCTCCCCGAGCTTTGAGGTGTACCGCCTTACCTTGCAGGTGGACACCCACAGGTGGGCTAGGATCTTTCTGCTATCCATGCCCCGCTGGAGAAGGTAGCTCCCACAGACCTAAAAGCAGGGAGACCATCTGGGCAGGCTAGGATGGGCAGCTCAGGCATCAGCTCCTGCCTTACCAGCCCCAGTTTCCCTGATGCTTCCAGGAACACGGGTGGATCGGCCACAGGGAGTCCCTGGGGTCTTCTCTGCAGGGGCCCTAGCTTGGGTAACCTTGATGAGAGTTCACTTCTAGGTGTCTGGCCTTGCAGTCCATCTGCAGCTGTGAATAAAAACTGAACAGGAGAAGCCACAGCTGCTCCCCAGCTCATGCCGTGCTGACAGCTTCTGCCATATGTGCTGGAGGCAAAGGCAGGGATCTAGGAGAGGCAGATGTCATAGAGTGTGGCAGAGAGGGTCAGAATCAGCCTGTGTGTGTGCGCAAGACCAAAGTCCCCAGGCTTGCAACCTACCCAGGGAAAGAGATGAGTTTTGTAGATAAAAGAGTTGCAATTTTTAACAGCTGACCCCACGCTATCTGCCCACACAGCCAAAAAAATGAAAGTCATTCCATTCTCTACCTAACAGAAGTCCTGGGACCATGCATACAGTTACCTTGATGGCCTCAGCCACCGATGGCCGCTCCAGAGCACGGCGTCTGGCCATGTCCAGGAGAAGAGTCTTGAGCCTGCGTGGTAGGGCTAGCTTTTGGTCACGGGGGACGCTGAACTTGGCTGCAGTCCACAGGACAGCGGCCACACAGTACACTGAGGCCTGGGTGGGGTCAGAGAGAGGAAGGAAAGGTGGCAGAGGGGTCAGAGGAGCCAGGAAGGCCCAGCAAACCTGGCCCCAAGAGTACCGCAAGACGCAGCCACACTGAGTGGTAGTCTGCCCAGACTCAAGGCCATCCCTGTCAGATCCACCATGAAGCCCTGGGGTATGGCATGGAAATCGTATTAACAAGACTCCCTGCCCCAGCATCTTCATCACAGGGACTGGCTGGGACTCCCTTCTGGCCATTGTGTGTTGCCCAGCTGGTAATACTGACTGCAGGACAGACATGTGCTCCCATGTCCACATGCCTGTCAGTTGTACCAAGTCCCACTGATGAAGGGATGCCTATTGCACAGTTCAATATGCTTTTCCCTGTAAGTTCTCCCTGAAGGGCTCTCCCAGCTTAACCAACTACTGCATCCACAGCAACCTACAATGAACTGATGCGCCTGACAGGGATGAAGGATGCTATTTTTGTTCACCTCAGTAAGAGCAGGATAAGATGCACATGGGAATGTTGCTGGTGGTTATAGTTTGTGTCTAGATGTTCCCCAAAGCCTCCCGCAGTCATGGCGCAGGCTTCTAGAGTTACGGGTGTGAGTGCTGTACCCGCCCTGGGGGCAGGCAGCCTGCATGCAGTATAAGCGAGGGAAAGAGGCTTGCTCTGCAGCTCCTCCTGTTTGCTTTTGTTGCTTTTGCTGTCTTCTGATACCACGAACTCCTGCCCTCCGCCATGTGCCACTCTGTCTTGGAGCCAGCCGAGTATGGACTGAAACCTCCACAAACTGTGAGCTAAATAAACTTTTCCTCCCTTAATTCTGGGCATTGGGTATTTTGTCCCAGCAATGAGAGAAAAGGAACTACGACACTGGTTCTAAGCACAGTCTTTGTTGAATCAGAAAATCACTGTTGAATGGACGAAGATTGTTTCCTCAAGCTTTGGGCAGTGTGCAACGAAGCAACCACAGCCACAACTTGCTTTTAAGTTTGGTTTATTCATGAATGTCCTCTCTCAGCTTGTTCAGTCTGGCCCGTT